GTGGATATACCACAACTGACTTATTCATTCTACTGTTGATGGGCAAGTGGGTAGTTTCCAGTTTGGAGGTATTAGAAACAGTGCTGCCATGGGGGGCTTAGTATGTGTCTTTTGTGAACACACACAAGCACGTCAGCTGGGATATATACCTGGGACTGGATTGGTGGGTTACAGGGCATACATATTTTGGTGAGCTATGTTTATATATATAATTCTCCCATCCCCGCTGTGAGGAAGGTGTCTTCAGCCCCTTTATGCATGGCAGTGTTTGAGCCAGACCTACATTTCCTGCAGAGGTCCTGGAAGATCCAACAGGAGGAAAGGCCGGCTGGCGCAGTGGGGAAAGTGTAAGTCTTACTCCAGTGCTTTTTCACAATTGACAACTCCTTATGACTTTTTCTTTCTTTTTTTTTTTTTAAGATTTTATTTATTTATTTGACAGGGAGAGACACAGCGAGAGAGGGAACACAACCAGGTGGAGTAGGAGAGGGAGAAGCAGGCTTCCCGCGGAGCAGGGAGCCCGATGAGGGGCTGGATCCGAGGACCCTGGGATCATGACCTGAGTCGAAGGCAGACGCTTAAGGACTGAGCCACCCAGGCGCTCCTCCTTATGACATTTTCTTAAGAGACCCATTGTTTTTGGAAGATTTTGCATACCAAGCAAATGCTAAGCAAATGCTGTTGGCTCAGTAGCATTTAATTCATCTTCCAATTCTCTTATTAGTTAAGGAGCAGCTACAGAGCTGCTGATCTGACATCCTGCCTAACAGAACTGTTGTAATTTCAGATAAAACCAAAGAAAGTCCAGGTTTGGGTTCACCTATGTCGTCTCCTTCCAAGAACGCAGCGTTTCTATTGGGCTGTTGAAACACTGACAATATGCTGCCCTCCCCCTTTGTGATGTTAAGGGAACTTTAACTGAGAGAGAGCCTCAACTCTCCCACTAAAAAAATCTAAGACCCACACCATGTCTGAAATCCTCGGATTTGTGATCCATAAATAGACATCAATGCACAAGTAATTCACATCATTTAGACCCGGCCTGGATCATCATTTTAAACAAAGTTTCAAAGCCCCATCCATTTACTTTGGGCTTGTTCTTCGGCTAAGATAGGTTGTATGAAGGTAGTAAGGAACATTTTCCAAACCGCCACCAAGTGGCCAGAAAGACTTCAGGCTATTGCTAATATTTGGGTGTGCTTGGTTCTTTCTCATTTGTCTCTCTGTTTCTGTTCTTCTTCATCTTTGTCTGTCTGCCAGTCTCTCTGTGTCTCTGTCTTTTTGACATATATGTCATTATGTCATACATATAGCTCTAATATGTATACAAAATACATATTATGTATATGTATGTATGTACATGTATTCATACATATTTATACATATTAGGCATACCCATCACATGTAATTATTATGATTCTTTTAACTAATTCTCTATTTTGGGACATTTAAGCTGTTTTCAATATTTTGCCATTGCCAAGTAACACTGCATGAATATGCTGGTGCCTACATCTTTGGGGACATCTCTGATATTTTCCTTAGGCTACATGACAAGATGTTGAGTCGTCCACCAAATGGGTTGACTTTTGGTTGTTGGTTTTTGTGCCTCATCAAATACAAATTTATGCCGCTGCCAACAATAAATGAGAGCATCTTCTCTGCCCCCACTGGCAATTTTCTATTACAATAATTTTTCTCAGTTTCATAGGCAAAACATGATATTTTAGTTGTCATTGCATTTCACTGATTCCTGGTGAGGTTAAATATTTTTTCGAATTTGCTGTCATTTGAGTTTCTCCTCATTTGCATTTTGTGTTCCTTCTTATTTCATGTTTTTCCACTCCCCCCACAGAATGCTGCCCTGTGCTCAGGCAAGTCTCATCTCTGCTTTGGCCACGGAGGTGATATCAGTGTCCCACAGAAAACTCAGCATTGTCAAATGCTTTGCAAACAGAACATGTGTCAGAAAAATGCACATTCCCAAGGCCCACAGGTGGCTCGGCCAGCCACATCTGTCATTCCTCCAACGAGGACGCCCAAATTCCCCCCAGGGCTATAAACCTCACTTCTCACCCGGACTCTGGACACCATCACCCAGGGGCCACCAGAGCAGGAGGGGCTGGCCACGTGACCTAATGACTTAACCAGGTGAGGCTCACACGCACTTTGGGTTTTTACACAGTTGTGCCTCAAAGGAAGTGTTCCCTATTGCTCTGGGGGAAATAGGTAACTGTAAATCAGGTCACAGTATGGCACTGACTTATTTATCCTTGTAAGAGTTTTACATTCTGAAGTCGACAAGGGACCCATTGCCCAATCCACGGTCAATTTGCAGTCAGCACTTAGGGAAAGCTCAATCCTCCTTGCTCAGCCATGGCCTGCTGGGGGCTTGTAGGATCCATCGATCGTGTTTCTTGGTCTGGGCCAAATGTTATCTGCCCAGAGACAGGAAGTCACCAAACAGTGGGAAGCGTTTCCTCTCTGTGCTAAGAATGCTCTTTCCCTTCTTTCCACTTGTCCTCTGAGTTCCTCCTCTGTGAGGGAATGTTTGCCCGGACGGCAGCCGCACCCAGGCAGACACAATGGCGAATCACTCAAGTAGAAGTAGCGCAGGTCAAGAGTAGCTTATGGCCTTTGGTTGGTGCTAATTAGCAATCAAGGCCAAGCCTGAACTCAATGGCCCTTCCTTAATTATGGTATGTCCTTACAAGAGAATATTAGGCAGCTATTAATAATAATGCTTTCAATGAATTTTTATGACTGAAAAATGCTCATGACATGAATTAAAACAAAATGAAGTTGTAAAACCCACATTCAGAAGTTAGAACATGATCCGGGGCATCTGGGTGGCTCAGATGGTTAAGCGTCTGCCTTCGGCTCAGGTAATGATCCCAGGGTTCTGGGATCAAGCCCCACATTGGGCTTCTGGCTCAGCGGGGAGACTGCTTCTCCCTCTCCCTTTGCCTCTCCCCCCGCTCCTGCTCTCTCTCTCTCTCTCTGTATCTCAGTGTCTCAAATGAATAAATAAAATCTTTAAAAAAAAAAAAAGAACATGATCCAAATTATCTAAAAGACTATCTGGAAGTAGTGTAAATAGTAATGGTGATTTTCTCTGCAAGCAAGATTATGTTTGCATTTTATGTTCTGTCTTATTATATTTTAATTTTTTCCTACATTCCTACAAGCTTTTGTGACTTTTTTCTTTTTTATTAAAGATTTTATTTATTTATTTTGACAGAGACAGAGACAGCGAGAGAGGGAACACAAGCAGGGAGAGTGGGAGAGGGAGAAGCAGGCTTCCCGTGGAGCAGGGAGCCCGATGCGGGGCTCGATCCCAGGACCCCAGGATCAAGATCTGAGTCGAAGGCAGACGCTTAACGACTGAGCCACCCAGGCGCCCCTTTTGTGACTTTTATTCACCAACTCCCCGCCCCCCCGCCCCAATCATGGACATTCTGAAACACCAGATCAGATGTGATGTGCCCCAGGCCTCCGGGGATTGGGCAGGTTCCTATTTGTTATTCAGTTCTGCTCTTTGTATGCCAGTGCTGGGAACGGGGTGAGCTGGACCAGGGAGCCTGACTTCCCAGAGAATGAAGACCCATCTAGTGACTAGAGATTTCAGCCAGCATTTGCCCTACCTCACATGCTTTTTCCTCCCTTGGTTCCTTCCTGTCTTCTAAACATTTCCCCGCCTTGGGTCCCGGGAGGAAGCCTGTGGGGGGTTGAGGGCAAGTGAGGAAAGTATATCTCAGAACCCAGACCAGAACCAGATTTTCAACAAGCTCAGAAGGTCACTTGTGGCAGAGCCGAACACAGACCCTAGGTTGGCAGCCGTTCTTATGGAAAAAGCTCCATGGACTCAAATTTCACTCTGCTCCACCCTAGACACACTGCTGCTAGCAGGCTGGTTTCAGTTCTGGGCGCCAGGTTAAAAAAAGAATATTGAAGAGACCACCTTCTGCAGAACACAGAACGACAGTAGCACCTTCCCTAGCAGGCTTAGCAGCCAGACCGCCACCACATGCTGAATGTTGGTGGTGCGCCTGGTCCTGGACCAAAGCATGACCTATGGTCTTATTTGATCTTTAAAGCAACTCCTTTGCAGATGAAAAATCTGAGTTGAGCAAGATTAAGTAATGAGATGGCTATATCTTAATCTGTATAAATTTTCCTGGGTAGGGGAGGGAAGATAGGGGAGGGAAGGTTCCCCGGGGAACCTTCTGCTTTCCCTGCTGACGGGGCCCCCTGGACCACAGCAGCCCTGGCTGCTGGAATTGGAGAAGCAGGCTGGGAGAGCTGCACTATATATGGGGCATCTGTATGCATCTTTCTCATCAAGAGTGACGACTCAATTCACTTGAGAATAACACAGGTTTCCATCTAAAGGTTTCAATGATGTGCCAGGTATAGCTCGTGAGAGGTAGGAAGTTGAATGCTCTCGAATCAGGAATGTGAGCTCCCAGGTGGCCCTCAGCTGCATCCACTTCGCCCTTACCCTTGACTGCAAACTGGTGGTTTTGATGGCTTGAGAAGCCAAACTTCGTTCGGACCCCTGGCCCCTATGGATGGCTTTGTGGCTCGTTAGGGAATTGGGTCCTTTCTTACAGTTTGCCAGGAGCGTGATAGCAATAGATGAGCCCTCCCCCCCCCCCCCAGGGCAGTCCCCTGGTCTAGCTGGTAGTGGGACTCTGCAGTGAGTATGGGGTGCTTGAATTAAAGCCTTCTGCGGGTCATATGGACTGTTTGCAGCCGAGGTGAGAAGGCTGAGTATCCTAGACAAGCTTATCCCACCTATTATTATTACATAGTCCTATGCACTTACAAATACGCAGAAAAAGCTAACATATAGGAAAAATGCAAATATCTACTCATACATAGAAAATATATTTAAAACCCCCCCACAAACTATCTATATAAAACACTGCTTTTAATAGAACAAAGCCAGTTCATCCAGGAAGTCAGGGGTGCAAGGTTAACAAGTATCAAATGTAACCGGTATGTGGCTTGAGCACGAGGGCTTGTCAGCCCCCAGCCATATCCTGGGGCCCTGACCCAACGGGGACTTAAAATCTCAAGGTCAGAGTTGGTTCAGGGTCACATGCTCTTGGGGTCTCTGAAGACGACATGGGCTGCATTGCGTCCAGCGGCTCCCATGACGCCCCCTCCTGGAAGCCTGTCCCCCGGGAACCTAAGCTGTGCTCACAACCCTGCCCAGGGAGCCCGCAGGGCCAGAGCTAACAGAGAAGCCGAGCATCAGTGCCCACGGGCCACTGCTCATACTGCGGGCATCAGAAGCCCTAGGACGACTATTAAGACAGATTCCAGGCTCACCTCCAGGCTTCTTCCCCCAGAGCTCTGGGCAGGGGGCCCAGCGAGCAGTCCAAGCAAGGGCTCCCCTCAGTCTGGAAGTCAATGTGCTGGGTGGTGAAACTGACTCAGGGTGCGAGGGGGAAGCTGTGGGGGTACAGACCTCTCTGGGACGTGTCCATAAGGAATGGCAGCCTTGGCGAGGTCTGTTAAGCTTGGCATAGAGGCCGGGAAGAATTTTTAAATTGGGAAACGCAACGTTACCAACGTTACCAGCCTGTACTGGTCTAAACTCTGGAGGGGGGATTCAGGGACATGGGTCTCTCTCAGCCCAAAGTCGGCATTTGGAGAGCCGCCTCTGCGACCTATTCTCAGGCCTCGTGAGGAGGAGGTGTGAGCTACCCCGAGGGTGGAGGGTGCAGCCAGCTGGCAGAGGCCCCGGCTGCTCCTCGTTTCCTGAGCGCTAAGAAGCCTGGGTATGGGGGATGACTTGTTCTCGTTCTTGTGGGACTTCCCTGCTCTCCCTCCTCTCCCCCTGCCTGCCGCACTGCCGATCCCAGCCGCACAGGGAAGGGGGCCCCGGGGCACTCACCCGGCTGGGCACCACTTCTGCAGAGATACAGGCCTCAGAGGGGACCGCGGTAGCTGGAGTGCGGGGGCTCAGGGCGGGCGAAGTAGAGCTGGTCCAGGGTCATGGCACAGTGGAAGATGTTCTGCGGGACGCGGGGCCGCAGTGGTTAACGTAGGAGTGTTAGGAGTTTTACAGCCTCTGCGAGTTTCTCCCCCTCCTCCCCTCCCAGGAAGGTTCTTCTCCTTCCAGCATATTTTCTTGGATTCTTATGAAGCAGAAAGTGGAGGGGAAGAGAGAGAACAGGTGCATGTCCTTGGGCTGCAGATGGAGTTTTCCAGAGGCACTTTTCAGGAGGAAAGAAAGGTGAGGAGCATCTTCAGAGTGGGAAGGAACTGAAAGGGGAAAGAAGAGGGAGATTTTAAGGGTTTTATTGAGGTCAATAAATCCTCCTCATTGTGTTTGAAAAATGGAGGATTTGACTTATTTTGGTAGCCTTGGCCAAGAGCCTGGGCCCCCGGGGGTTCATGTCCCAGCAGAGTCACTGTAGATGGCAGACAAGGGGCAGGGGACTCGAGCTCAGTTCTGCTCCCCTGGCCAGGGTCCAAGCAGCCAGGACGTGGGGAGCAAGGGCCAGGGGGGAGGTCAGACTTAAGGGACAGGTCTGGACAAGAAGACTGACACCTGCTGGATGTCACCACAGGGATGTCCTTCCGGCTAACCTCCCAGCATGTCCCAAGCTGACCTCATCCTCCCCTGCTGAGTCTGCTCTCTCCCACCTTCCCCACCTCGGAGGGCGGCATCACCTTCCCTGCCTGGGCCTCCAGGTGGACCCTTCCCGTCACCTCTGCCCTGACCTCTGCATGCACAAGGTACTGAGACCCCTCAGTTCTGCCTGCCCCACGCCTCCCATATCCCTCTGCTCCATTCAGTCCCCACTGCCTGGTCTCCTGAGCTCTATTCCTGGACCAGCGCTGTCCAATAAAAACATACCATGAACCACATATGCAATTTTCATTTTCTAGGAGCCACATTAAAATTTAAAAAGAAACCGGTGAAATGAAAGTCAATAATATATTTTATTTAACCTAATAGATCCAAAACATTATCATTTCAACATGTGATCAGTATAAAAATTATTAATGAGATGTGTTCCATTTTTTTATCCTAAGCCCCTGAAGGTTGGTGGGCAGGTGGCATGTGCAGCCCACCTCCGTTTGGCCTCACCCTACGGGAGCCACCAAGAGCCACATGAAGCTGGTGGCTGCCATATGGACCTGGCCTCCTAGCTGGTCCCTCTGTCCCCAGTGTCAGCAAGGTTTTGATAAATCAGAGAGGCAAGTCCAAGGACGTGCTGCCTTAAGAGGGGAGCTCCCTCTGAAGAAAGCCAGATGGGAGAGGTGGCCACGGATGTCCAGACAGCGGGGGCCATGGACCTGGTGACTTGCTTATCAGGCACTGTCTCTCCTGTCTGATCTCCTCACTCTTTCCCACTCCCTAGGTCAGACTACTTCTCTGTCCCCTTCCACTGTGGTCTCTGCACCATCCTCCCTTCCCGATACAGGCTGGGTGTGGAGGGACAAGAGAAAGCTGAGTGGGCATGCCAGGGGGTGGGGATGCAGGGAGAAGAATGTGACGAGGGACCCCCCGGTCTTATACTCACCCCTCCTGGAAGCCTGAAGATTCTCTCCAAATCAGGTAGTGTGAGGACGTCCCTGCCCATCACGGGACCCTTGAAGCCAGGAGCGTAGGCCTCGATGCAGTCAAACTCTGGGTACCAAACAGCAGAGAAATGAGATGGTGTGAGGAGGAAGAAGGTGAGGCGCTAGGATTGTACAACTTGGCCAGTTTATGAAAATTCATTAAACTACACACTTAAAATGGGCTTATTTTGTCATACGCAAATCATATCTCAATAAGCAAAAAATAAAAACAGTCCATGGGCAAGTAAATAATTCATTACAAAGGCCTGTGGGTCTACCCCACTTTCCCCCCCGCTCACCCCAACCCTAACCACAAAGTTACTTGTCTCCCATGAATATGCAAAGCTTTCTTCATTTCCTCGCTTTGTTCAAGTTGTCTCTTTGCTTGGAATGCCCACTGCTGCCTGGCCAACTCCTATTCATCCTTTTAAACCCAGCTCAAATGTCCCTTCCTTTGGAAAGCTCTCCTTGTCTCTCTGGCAAATAGCTTCCACCTTTGATTCACATAGTACGTTGTATTGTAAGATTGGTTTCCCCCAAACCGTGACTGGACTGTGAGCAACTTAAGGAGAGGAACTGTGTCTTTTAGGCTTTCTTTGCCCAGTGCCTGGCCCCAGCAGGCATTCACTGTGTTGACTCAGGTTCCGTTCGGTACCGGTCGGTACTTCTCTTCCTCTGGGACAGGACTTACCAGGTGTTAATCCTGAATGGGGCAATCAAGGGGGGAGGGGTCCCGGCTGTCACTGAGAAACAGGACAGGCTGCCCTCTTTACCTTTGTCTGCATATGCGTTTCTCTCCTGCTCATCCCACACCTTGCCTCCAGCCAGTGTGTAGGGCGTGTACTGAGTGAAGAGGGAGACGCCATGGCAGCCGGGGGGGAGTCAGGGTGGGGTCCAGCGAGGAAGGGATGCAGAGTTCAATCAGAGGCCTGCCGCAGGGGGGAGGAGAGAGGGTCAGGTGTGAAGAGAAGCAGCCACCCCAAGGGAAGGGGCTGGGAGTGGCTCCAAGGTGACAGGGACCAGAGGAAGGCAGGCCTGGGGCGAGATGAGGGGGTGTCTGCGAGGCTGTGGCGGTTGCTGGCCCGCATGGGCTCCGTGCCCCCTGGGACGGCCCAGACCACCCCGGAGGAGCTCCCAGCCTCAGATGCACAGCCCCCACTCTCAGGTCCCACGTAGCCTCCCTCCACCTGCGTGCCTGTCCCCACCTGTGTCCACCGCCCCCTGCGCTGTGACGGGCCCAGCAGACAGCACACACGGGGGAAGGGCCAGGCCCAGGGCAGCAGCCGTCAGGCGGCCGATTTCAGCCCAGGTTACCCCGTCTGCACACCTTGCCCTGAGCACCTGTGCAAACCAGAGCTGCTGGGGCTGCAGCCACCCGCCAGAGCCCCGACGGTCTCCCGCCCCTCCCCTGCTTACAATGCCGTGTCTACTCGGAGAACACTGCCCTCCAATCTCCAAATATGACCACCTTCGAGGCCGCGTGAAACGCCCTCTCTCCCCGCATCCCTCACTTGCGATGTGTCCTCGGAACCTGGATGTCCACTAGGCATCTCCAGAGTCACTTGTCCAAACCCGAATGCCTAAAGCCTGCTCCTCCCCGCACACACCAGGTTCCCCTTTTTTATAAAGACAAATACCTTCTTCCAGTGGCCCTCATCAGAGGGCACACACTCACCCGATCTCCCTGCTCCATATTCTCTTGTCTCTGATAAGCCGCCTTCATGCAAAACTTCTAAAAGCATTTCCGACCTCCCAGCCCAGCTGGGCCTTTGCACATGACTTTACTTACTCTTCACCTGCCCTGGCCCACAGACTTATCGCCTGGGATGAGCTTCCTCTCCTTGGAACCTAAGTATGGATTTAGGTAGATCCTAAGACACTGTGACTGTTAAGTACCAGGAGGAAGAGGCAATCCCCTCTGTGTCTAGATAGTCACCCACCCCTTCCCCAGCCCGTGTGTGTAGGAGTGTCCCAGGGGACACAAAGCCCAGGGCCCACCCACCTGTGGGAAGGCAGGTCGTCCACGGCATCTTTGAAGGCCTGGTGGGGGAGGAGTGTGTCTTCACAGTTCAGGTGGATGGAGCCCTGGTGATGGGGCAGTGGCTGGCCGCCGGGAGCATTCGGGGCCACCAGGAAGTCAGGCAGCCTGTCGACAGCCACTGAGGGACCAAAGAGGAGGGCGAGGGCCCAAAGGCCTCGGTCCTCGGCTTCCAGGATCCTCCTTCTCTGCCCATCACCCTGCTCACCCAAGTGGTGGATTGGAAAGAAAAAGTATGGGGGGGCAGGGTGGAGGCGAGGGAGTAGAGATGATGATATAAGTCAGTTTTTCCAAAACTGGGAGATTTCTCACTTAGATAATGTCAAAAGAGACAGCTTTGCAATCTGTGTGTGCCTCTTACCATTGATCTTGGTAACAGGTGACTTGGTGTCCAGCTGGGAGATCCTCTCCATGAACTCCTTAGGAAGCCATTTCTTGAAGAAGGTTCCATGAAAAGGCCTGGGGATGGCCGAGGCCCCAAGGGGGCTGCCTTCTTCCTTTGCTCAGGATGGTCCCTCAACCTCCACTGCCAGGAATCCTTTCTATCCTTCAGAGCTCAGCCAAAGCACATCTTCTGTGAAGGCCTCCTGGATCCCTCCTACCCCCAGCTCATCACTAACCACTTCTTCCTTCGAACTCTGCTGGAGCAAATGTAAGTGGTCCACACCAACTCCAACTTTGGATGTGGCCAGTGGCCTGAAGGCCCCTTTCCTCCTCCAGTCTGTAAGCTCTTGAAAGTCTTTTTTTTTTTTTTTTTAAGATTTTATTTATTTATATGACAGAGAGAGGCAGCGAGAACAGGAACACAAGCAGGGGGAGTGGGAGAGGGAGAAGCAGGCTTCCCGCTGAGCAGGGAGCCTGATGTGGGACTCGATCCCAGGAGCCTGGGATCATGACCTGAGCCGAAGGCAGATGCTTAACGACTGAGCCACCCAGGCGCCCCGTAAGCTCTTGAAAGTCTTGATTATCTCAGAATTATCTCGACAAGATGCTTTTGAACTGATGTTTGTTGAATTTTCTTAGTGGAATCACTCAGAAAAAGTGGTGCCTTATCCCCCCAAATAGTCCCAAGAATTGTTGGAAGATCCATACTCATATATATATTATCATATGTTTTGGTGACAGGGAAGGTGCGATCAGTTGCCACAATTGCCCCCAGTCCTCACCCCTCCCTGTATCCACACACCTTTGTAACCTCTTCCCACTGTGACTCTGGGCTTGGGACAAGGTGAACGCTAGCAAGTAGGATGCAAACAGAATCCTGAAAAACACGTGCATGAGTGAGTTTGCTCACTTTTGCCCTCTGCCAGATTGGAGAACATGCCTCACTTATCATACTGGAGGATGAAAGACACATAGAGCAGAGCTGGTCAACCTGGTCATTCCAGCAGGAACGGTCTTGGACCAGCCACAGCCAGCCCGCCTGGGCACATGAGCGAGGCCAGCCAAGATAGCAGGGCCCACTAGTTGACCCACAGCTGTTGGAAGGTGCCTGAGCAAGCCCAGATCAGCTGAACTCAGCCAAGTTCAACTGAACTCTCCAGTTCTGAGTGCTAAGTCAGTATTTCTTATTAAATGCCCAGAGGCTGTGTGGTTGTTTCACTCGGCCTTGATACGGCCATAGATAACGGACACAGACGGTGGAACCAGAATTGGTTAGAGCAGCAAATCAGGGTGGTAGGAAAACTCTGGATTAAAAGTCAGACCTGGGTTCTAACTCTGGTTCTGCCAATTGCCAGCTGCATGGCCTAAGTCACCTCATTCCCCTGGACTTTTCTCCCCACGTGTGAGGCTTCTTCCCTGTTTGCTACCTGCCTGTTAGGTAAGGGAGAGAAGGACTGGCTTCCCCTAGTGCAGAGAGAGCGGGCACTTGCATCTCCCATCCTCATGTAGTCCTGGCGCCCTTGACCAACACCCCCGCTCCCCCATCTTGGCAGACATCTTGCCTCCAGCCCCCAGGCCTCACCTGTGGTGTCAGCTTCAGGAAGCTGGCTGTGGGGATGTGTGGGACAGCACCACTTTGCTCCTCAGCTCCGAGCCATCTTGCAGCACGACTCCTTGGATGCGCCCTTCACTGCTCACCAGCACTTTAGCCACTGTCTAGAGCCCACCAGAGCGAGACCCCGGAAACCCCCCAGGAAGGAAAATACAGGTTGGATCTTGGGGGATCTCCACTGTCTGTGCTATTCCTGGGTGCTCACAGCTTCCGCATCTGAATCCACCCTGCTGGGCTCTGCGGCAATGTGGTGAAGCCTCAGCCCACCCACTCCAACGCAAAGGCTCGGCTTGAATGGGGGCTAGGGGCCAGAGCATTCAAAGGGGGGTGGTCAGAAGAACTGGGACCTGGTTGACAGCTGCTCAGCCATTAATAGGCTGCTCAGCCATTAACAAGCTGCACAAACTTAGCCCCTTGATTCCAAAGCCCCACTTTGTGCATTGGTAAAATGAGGAACCCTCTGAATTTGACATTTGGTTCCATACTGGGATCCATGCAAATAATCGGGGTGGGGGGAAATTCACCTTTTCAGTGAAGATGCTTACTCTGTGTGCGGTGGCTGAGCTTGAGATGGCATCAGAGAGGGCACCCATGCCACCCTGGACATAGCCCCAGGCCACCTGCATCCCCTCCAGGCCCCCCATCACGTGATGGAGAAGCACATACCTGAGGGCAGACCATTGGGGTCAGTGGTTGGAGGTGCGGTTTAACTCCCCAGAGCTCTAGGTGCAAACAGTCTTTTCTTTCTGGTACCTTTAGCCTCTCCCTGTCCCCGTGCTGCCTTTCCCATCAGCCTTTAAATGGGCTCTAGGCTCCTGTAAGGGCTTTTGCCTCACGCCCTACATTCTCTCCCCATGCAAACGTGTCTGCGCGCAGAGCCTTAGCACCAACCACACGGCGGCGATGCCCAAACCCGCAGCCCTAACTCTCTCCTGAGCGCCAGCTACCCAGAGATCCCCACTTGTGTGGGGTTTTCTGGCTGGCAGCTGAAACCCATCTCCTTCTCCATTCCCCAACCTGTTTTTCCTTCATTCTCCCCATCCTAGTGATGGCAGCTTCCGTTTCCCACAGAAAGCTGAGGGCCAGTCGTGCGAGTCCCACCCATGCCTCACCACCTCCATGCCGTCAGGCGCCATAACCCTGCCTCCCAAAGAACTTTCCAGTTCCCCCTCCCTCAGGCCTCTTTCCTGGGCCAGGCCTCTCCTCCCTTCCTTCAACTTCTGCAGTGGTGTCCTCCTAGTTGGACCACCTTCTCCCACTCTTCCTTCCCTGAAGACCTGGAGCCCCATCACAGACTTAGCCAAGTCCTGCCACTTCTCTCCTTGGATGCCTTTGCTGGCTCAACATTGCTCTCAGGGGCATGGCCAGTTTCCGGACATGCCTCCAGGGCTCCAGCCTCATCCCTCACCAAGCTCCCCCTCTCAGCCTGCACCCCTGCCAAAGCAAACCTCCACATGGTCCCGGCTTAGCCCCCAGCATTTGCACGGGCTGATCTGGCAGCCTAGAAGCCCCTTCCTCCTTTGTGTCTGTTTAGCTAATTCCTCCTGTCCTGAGAGTCTCAGATTAAACGTCTCTTCCTCATGGAGGCCTCCTCTGACCCTGGACAGCGTTGCTTCCCTGCCCCACCCCCATCCCAATCCTCACAGAACTCCACTATCGTCATTTGCTCTGTGTCTACCCCTCCTAGGAGGGTCTCAGTGCCCTTCATGCCCTGGCCCTGCACCTGGCACAGGTAAGGGCTCCATCAATATTCACTGGAGGAATTAATGAAGAAACAAATTACTTAAAGGTGCACTTCACACACTGGGCAGTAGCTACGCCTCCCGCGGAGCCACAGAAAAAAGGACAGGAGGCCCCAGTGGAAGATGCAAACTGGCTGGTGGATCATAGAGTTGGCCAAGGTAGGGCAACCATTGCCAACCCCCCTTTTCCATGGCCCTGGGGAATTCGGAGCTGGCTTAGTGTGTGCTGAAAAACCCCTTCCAAGGGTGGTTCTCATCCTTTGAGAGGAAAGCCACATTGACACCTTCTAGCTGCATCTTCTGATGCACTGGAAATGGCCCAACACTTGGCAGCCTCCTCTATCCCAAGACACAAGCACACACACACGCACACACACACCCTCCGTTCCTGCTCCTACAAGGGGCTCATTAAGTCACACCACAGGTACAGACTTCACTGGGTCTTGCTGCCCCCTCTTGGCTCGGCTGTCAACATGCCCCCCTCACAAAGGGAAAGGCAGTGCCCCCCCTCCCACCGCCATGAAGGCATCTGTGCGTGTGTGTCCTGGGACCCCAGGGAAAGGATATGTGGGGGACAGAGGGGCAATGGAACTTTGTGGGAGGAGAAGAGATAGAAAGAGGGGAGAGAGAGAAGAAGGGTAGAAGGGAGAGAGAGAAAAAGGAGGAAGAGGAGGAGGAGGAGAAAGAGAGCTGTTCATGTTGAGCTATCACAGTGGGAGAGAGGCTTTTCTCGCTGGAGCATTAGGGAGAAGTGGCTAAGAAGGAAGATTTTGGAGGCTCAGCTGGGAATCAGCTCTGCCACCACTAGCTGTGTGACTTGGGGCAAGACCTGTCCCTACTCTGAACCATGGCTCTCAGGTGTGGCTTTGAGGGTTCGATGAGTGCCTGGCTTCGTGCCTGGCTCACTGGGAGAGCTTGGTGAGAGACAGCTGTTAGCACTTTTGTTGGGAGATTCACTCTGCTACCGCTGCACCCCACCCCCCTGCCCCGCCCTCACCCCCTCCCCGGAGTGTGGGGACTTGTCATGGCTTCAATCACAGCATCCGTGGCCAGAGTGGCTTTTAGAGGCTCGGACTCAAACCACTGATCCAGCACCTGGGACAGCAAAATGGCAGGGAGAAGGGCATAGGGGCCCCGGGGAGAGAGTCCCCTTCACTGTGGGGTCCAGCCTGAGGCTGGGGAGCCCCTCACCTTTGTAATTGGAGCTGTGAGGACTAATACTGGGGCAGCTGGGCTTCCAGCACATGACCTGAAAGAGAAGACCCATAAAACGTAAATTGGGACAGGAAAGAAGGAGTCATTCCAATCTGCGGTATCTCTGTTCTTATTTCTTTATCTGTAAAATGGGAGTAAATTTCATATCCCCAAGAGCTACTATGAGTTCTCTGGGAAGCTACAATAAGCTACTATTTCATATCCCCCAGAGCTATATAAGGAATAAATGACATATGTAAAGTGTTTGCAAGTTCATAGGCACTGAATACGTTTTAGTGGTTGGAATTATTTTGGGAAAAATGTTAACTTGTACCTTAGTCCCTTACTTCGAACTCTGTGAGGCCCATCCCCCGGGAGGTAGCCAGCTAGGCCCGTCCACAGCTCTGAAGCTGATTCACACTATCTCAGAGAGTAACTGGGCAGTAAGGCCTCGAGGGCATGGATCGTGATCTCTAGCAACTTCAGCCCCAGGGCCTGGCTTAGTGTGTGGCACGTAGCACTTGCTTAATAAATTTTAACGCATGAAGCTCCTCCGACTGGTCCTCTGAGAGGCCATGTCTACTTCTGGCATTTGTGATGGATTCTACCGGTTCTGATCCTTTACTCCTCCCCATAGCCACCCACTTTTCCCAAGCAACTCTGCAGTGCCTCCCACTGTAGCTGGGATGACCTGCCCTGCTCCTTGAGTCTGGGCTCACCCACGTCATTTGCTTTGGCCAACGGGATGTTTACAGGTGGGAGGCAAACAGATGCTTGAAACTGGCCCACACATTGCGCTATGCCTCTGCCATTGACGTAAGATGGCCATGCCTGGGCCAGCCTGCTGCTTCCAGGAAGAGGGTGGGAAGCACCTGGAGCACAGCTAGCCTGGCTGATGTGCCCCACCCATAAACCCCCCTGTGAGACCAGGCCAGACCGGACTGCGCAGACACGTGAGACATAGAGGTTTATTTTTACATGCTACTTGAGTTTTGTAGCTGTTACACAGCACTTTTGTAGCCATAGCTAACTCATTCAGCACTTTTCTAGAATGCAGACGCTAACCTGGTCTTCATATCCTGGAGGAATGGCAGAAAATAGCAGCATGCTTGGTGAAATGTCCCTTCTCATACCCGTGGCAGACATCACTAATTCATCACAGAATTTTTTCTTGCTGAGCCCAAATCTAGCATCCTTCCGGTATGGGGGCATCTCTTCAAACTCTCTTGGCCCCTCTCTCTTCTAGCCAAGACTATGGTGACAAGCTCCATGCAGGCTTCAATCAGCTTCACACGGTAAAACCCGGCAGCATCTCACCTCAGATCTGTAGGATGTGCCTCATCATTTCTTCCCCGGGGTGTCCCTGGCACCATGACAGGACACCCACAGGAACCCACTGGGCACCCATGGATGCACTGCCCAGAAGTTAATGCTCCAGGTGGGAGTTAAACCCCATGGGGCACTCTTTGACCAGTGGGGGACAGAACCTGATGGATAAATGTTTCCCCTTTTTTCTCTTGGGAACGGTCCTGACGTGCACTTCCTAAGGCCCCCTGGGTGGTCCTCCTAGGATCCAGCACCTGTCACCTGTGATCCAATAGCACACCTGGGACTGACCCTTCCTCTTTCCAGTTTCACTCCCCCTTTCCTTGGGGTCACCCATCAAAATGAACTACGTGTATACAAGGCTTCACCTCAGGCTCTATTTCTAGGGCCGCCAGGCTAATATCTGCTCAGCAGAGTGCTCTGGGCAGCCCCTATTCATGGACGGCAGTTGGCAGGCTTATGAAGGCTCAAGCTCATGTCCAATCATCAAGAAAATGGGCTCAACATCCTGAACGTCACTCATCATGCCTGATGCCTGCACTTTGGACTTACCTGCCTGCAGCAGGGGCTTGAGCATGGAGAGCGACTGGAGCCTTTGCAGCAGGGAACCCCTCTGGAAGGCCTCATGTCCACGGGGACTGCATCCAGCAGAGGGTCTATGGCTAATGCCAACTGATTCATGAACGCTTCATATTTGGGAAAGGCCTGGAACAGAGAGCTCTGAGTCAAGGCCCCATTGCTTAGCATCCCACGAGGACATTGCCCCCACGCTCTGACCTCCATCCCATCCCCACATGGCCTGCGGCTCCTGGCCAAGCCTCCGTGGCTCCTCAGGCCTCATGCCCAGCCTTCGCTCAGCTCGGCCATGGAAAATTACTCCCAGTTCCAGGCCTGTGAGCTGACGTCAGCACTAGGGGAGGCCAGAGAGATCTTAAGCAGATGGGCCACCAGGGTGGTGGCAGGGACAAGGGGTTATGCTGGCTGAGACCAGCTGTCAGCCACAGAAAACTGGCAAATATCCTAGCATGTGGTCTCTGTGATAAACCAGAAAACCACTTAAAGTTTCTTCTCTCGGTCCTGTCTTTCCACATATTACTGGTGGAAGTAAGATCTCTTCCCCTGTATTGCAGCATGATGACTGCTCTTTCCTGGTCGTCTGCAAATCTATGTCCTCTTGACATACACAGAAACAGAAGCCTACATCCCTTCACTCAACAAGCCCCAATAACAGAATCCATTTCTTTTCTCTTTTCTCCCTTCTTTCTTTCTTTCTTTCTCTTTCTTTCTTTCTTTCTTTCTTTCTTTCTTTCTTTCTTTCTTTCTTTCTTTCTTTCTTTCTTTCTTCTTTCTTTCTTTCTCTCTCTCTCTCTTCCTTCCTTCCTTCCTTCCTTCCTTCCTTCCTTCCTTCCTTCCTTCCTTCCTTCCTTCCTTCCCTTTCAGAATCCATTTCAATAGTGTGGTTAGAACACACCCTTCCTTCGCTGGGTGGGCGACAGGAGCATGGATGGATGCCTGTTCCACCGGCAGCCCTATCTTGATCCCCAGCCCCCAGCTTTCAATTTTGGTTCATCTATACTAATGAATATATCCATAGAATTTTAATAAGGTTGCATAAACAAAAGTTCTGCACTGAAGTATGTTTGAGAAGTCTTGATAAAAATGACCTTAAACAGCCTACAGTAGGCCCTCCATGTGGCAACGTGAGAAGACAAGACCAGAAAAGGGTTTCCTTACTTTCCACAATGGGATGTGGCCCCTGCCTCCTCCTATGGTCACTAATATGTCAGCCACTGTCCACCAGGCCCAGCAACGCGGCCTCGCCCTGAATCCTCTCCAGTGCACCTGGGCAGTTCAGGGTTTTGAGGAGAGGGTGGAGGCCCTGGCCCCCAACCCACTGCACAGAAAAGAGACCGTTTCAAGAAGCAAGCTCCCCAGGTGATTCTGATCATCAGCCGGCTTTAGAAGCCACTGATTGAGGAGAGATACTGTGGGGCCATGGTTCTCTGGGTTCTACCCAACATTAGATTACAAAAAGCAATGGGATAGGAGTTCATGCTGTGCCTTCAGCTTGTATTTAGGCTTGGTACAAAAATATGTCCCTTCAAAGAATCTATATCTGCAAAACCAGTCACATCAGGTCCGTAACATTATTCAGTGGCTCATATACATGAAGCTACCCAACAAATTCCTTATAATGCAATCCCAAGAAAAAAATGTGTATTCTCCATCAGACGTATGTCTTCCTTCCACCAGACCTGCATGCTCTCATGGACAATTTCTTGCCTTTCTTCCTTCCACCAGACCTGCATGCTCTCATGGACAATTTCTTGCCTTGGGCTGCCAGGGGATTGATGCCAAGTCAAATGAATATTTATTACAATTCTCTTATTCTAAATACTTGGTCCAGTTCATTCTATCCTTAATTGTCTTTGATCCTCCCTTCATCGTTCTTTCTGGCTTCACGGGCTTTAACATTGATAACCACCTGGAGTTCTTTCCAAAAGCAAGAAAGATGGAAAACACATATAGTATAAGTACATACCAGTGGATTCCCTTTTGAAATTCAGCTGGCTGAGACCACCTGAACAGTGGCCTCATACTGAACACACACGGGTTTGAGGGTGTCCAGGGTCCACTGGTCTTTTTTTTTAAGATTTTATTTATTTCAGAAAGAGAGAGAGCGAGCGAGTGAGAGAGAAAGCACAAACTGGGGTAGGGGCAGAGGGAGAGGGAGAAGCAGACTCCCCGCTAAGCTGGGAGCCTGATGTGGAGCTCGATCCCAGGACCCTGGGATCATGACCTGAGCCGAAGGCAGCCACTTAACCCACTGAGCCACCCAGGTGCCTCCAGTGTCCACTGGTCTTAATCAGTGTTCTCCATCCCCTTCTCTTCGAAGTGCCTGGGATCAGAGGCTACCTCAGACTGGAGCCCTCCTAGGGCAGGTGGAATGGCCTGTCCAAGACCTCATGGTCTTTGGACAACATGTTCTTGGATGACTCTAACCAGGCCCAATTCCTTTCAAAAGCCACCTACATGCTGGCGAGGGAGAAGGAGATCTGTTGCCGGTCCCCTTCCCTACCTGGGCATCTTTCCATGAGAACTGGGCAATCTGCTTCTGGTTTTCCTCAATGTCTGTGCCCAGAAGAAGGGAACTGGGCACCTTGCTCCCCATACCCTCTTCCAGCATTGGGGTAAAGGAGTAGGGGTTTCGAAGACGAAGCTTCAGCCCGTATTTCTGCAGAACATAGATAGCATAGCAACATTTTAAGGGGTCTGTGTCCTCTGCCCTTGACCCTCCTCCGATTGTGTTTGCAACCATTTAGGTACCTGCATACAGTTCCCCAAGGCAGGCGGTGCTGCTTCTTATTTTTTAATGTAAGTGTATAAAAAGCGCTCTTGCCCAGGCATCCTTTGGCAGGCCACATCACACCACCCCACACCACCCCACACCATGCCATGCCATGCCACGTCATACCACACCATCTACACCCCACCATGCCACACCATGCTACCCTGATCACCTCACAACAACTGTAAGTATATCATCCTCATGGTACGAATACAACAGAGGCTCAGTGCAGGGAAGTAAGTTGTCAAAGGTCACCTTAGGAGGTGGATCTAGGTTTCAAAACCACATCTCTGTGACTCCAAAGCTCTGGCCCTCAGCACTAGTCTGTAACTACCCCCACTTCAGAAATAAATAATTAAAATGTGAAAATCCATACTTAGAAGATAGATAAATTATTCACATCAAAAAATTTTATTTACTTTGCAGACTCATTTACTCCAGGGTCACTTTAAATGGAAGTTCCCTCTATGTATTTAAAATATGATTTGATTTACAAATATTTGACTGGCAAACAGAACTTTCCAAGAGCACAGCTACTTCTTCGATGGAGGTACAGATAAAACAAAACGGGCCTGTGCTAGCCCCACAAATAAGACCTACTCTTCCCACTAGAAACATCTTTCCCGAAACCACTCTACTGAGGTATGACTGACATACTGAAAGCTGTACACATTTAACGTGTTTAGCCTGATGAATCTGGCATCTAGAGCTTCTTTCCCAGCTCCCTCCCCTCTGTGAGGCTCTGCTCCCATTATCACCTGAGCAGCAAGGCCTCCCTTACACACCCAGCACTTCCTGCCCCCTCAGCCTGCTTTCTTTGTCTCTGAAACACTCACTGCCACCTGGCTAATTGCATACTTAGTTTCCCCATCTCCCCCGGGGTAGACTGTGAGCTCTGTGGGCTCAGGGGCATAGTCCCTTTGCTCAGCACCTGAATGTACTGCAATCAATACGCATTCTGTTGACTGAACAAATGAATGCCATGTTGCAGACAGGGGACATGTCCAGAGACAGAAACAAGATCTGTGAGGAGAAGTTCTGGAAAACACAAGGAAACCAAAAAAGCCTCTCCAACAATTACAGCTGAAGTTTCCCCAAGCCAGAGATACTCCAGATGGCGGGATTGCCATGGGTGGAACATACTGTGGAGGTGAATCCAAACAGTGGTAGGGGTTTGGGCTGGGAGACTTCCAGGGTTCTTTCTCACACCAAGATGGGGAAAGCTGGAGGAAGTTCCAGCCTGGTTTCCTTCAGGTTAGTAAACTCTTTCTCACCCAGGAAGTATCCTAAGTTTCTCCTTTTCCTTCCCCCTCATCCTGTCCATTACCAAGTCTCACTGGCCCAGTCTCTCCAGAAGTTGTATGCTTCTCTCCATCTCCACTGCCCCTCATGCCAAGCTGCCATCTTGTGAACCACTGCAGCCACTGCCTTGCCCGTCTCCCTGAGACCACAGCTGCTTCCACCACATTCCATGCCACCCAACATGTGGACTGACCTTTCCTGAAGTTACAAACCCCACCCCTCACTTCCTCTGCCCATGGCACTCCAGGATAAAATGCAGTCCCTCCTTCACAGCCTACAAGGCCCTATCTCAGTTGGCCCCCCAGCCCCTCTCATATACCATCTGCTGCCCCTCTGCCCATCCCTCATCTGCTTTCTTCCACCTTGGGCCCGACCATCTTTACTTCCCTCTGCTCAGGTGACCACAAGGCTGCTAACTTCTTAGCATCTGCATGTCAGCTCAAATGTCACCTCCTCAGGAAAGCTGTCCTGGTTGGGCAGTCCAGGCTGGACCTCTGGTCCCTCACTATCATATTGCCTTGTTTTCCTTTCTTTGGGGGTAACACTTCCTCTACCTGAAGTCCTCTTACTAAGAGCAGAAGCCTTGCCTCCCTCCCTCACCGTGGTATCCCCAAGGGCTTCTCCCAGTGCGGGACACAGGGCAGGGCCTCAGAAGCATTTACTGAATGAATGAATCAATACCCCACCCCAAATAAGGGACCTAAGAGTTGCTTCAAGTATAACTAACTGAATATGAGTAATTTTTTGTCTGATTCCAGGACTTTCTCATAAATTGGACCTTTGTCATCCTTGGTGGTTTTAATTATGTGGTGTCAGAATAGAAAGAGGGATGTTAAATCACCATTAGATTTGTTTACATCATGCAGTTCTCCTCTTATAAAAACAGAACCCTTCTTCTGATTCCCCCATGAGAGTTCTCAGCATGCACAGCCACCCTGGGTGGAAATTGCTAGGAAGGGACCAGGTGTATACGAGGGACGAGAGGTAAGAGAGATTCAAAAGGTGTGGTGCCTGGCCCCACCACCGTCCTGCAGAATCAGCTCTCAGATCAAGGTCCCTCAGGGTCCCATCAGTTTCCAAGGTTGTTCCGATAGACCTGAAAGTTTGAGAGCCCTGCCTTAGGTTTCTGGGAATAAAGCAGGAGCACAGCGATCTGGCTGAGACCCAAAAGATTATTAGTGAGGGAGGGAAGGGGTTGCCACTTGAATGGGGCCAAGGCTGGCTCAGGGAGAGCTGGACGAGGCAGCTGCTTGCTGACGTGGGAGACAAGACCCCATCAGGGCAGAACTCTGCCCTCTCAGCCTGGAGTCCACTGCTTAATGTGGGGCCACTTTTAAAGCAAACCTGTGATCTAGTGGACAGAACCAGGAGGTGATCCAATCTGATGCTCTCATTGACAGCTGTGGAAACTGAGACCCAGAAGACAGGCCCCATGGAGGCCCCATGTGGGTGGGGGAATCCATCCTTGGCTCAGGGATGGGAAGAGGGGCAGTGGCACCAAAGGAAAGACTCACACTTTAGGTGAGAGCTTGGTCTAACTGGGGACAGGCCCCTAGCGGCCAGACCTGACAGGCAGTAGCCAGCTACAGGGCCCCGGGAGGTCCTTCTGGAGCTTGAGTTTCTCAACTGCCGCCCGGGAGTAATAATGCTAGCTGCCAGTTATGCGGTACTGACCATGGCCCAGACAAACCTATTCACCACCACAATAGCCTTATGAGGTGGGTACTATTACCATCCTCATCTTGCACATGGGGAAGATGCGGGGCCATGAGGCAGCTAATAAAACCATCAGGCAGGTTTTCAAAACCAGCCTGTTAGGTCCCAGAGTCTGCAAGCTCAGCCCCGTCCTCCGCCCAGGCCGGGCTGCAAGGGGAGCTCCTGTCTGTGACCTCGTCCGCTGCAAACCGCAACGTGCTGGGACGCGTGAGGCTGAGCAGGACTGCTCTGGGATGACTGTGCCAGCAGACGGTAGCCCAAGAACGGGGAGAAGGAGGCAGGTGCACCTGGTTCAAGTTCTCTGTCATTTCCTAGTGTGTGAACCTAACTTCACAGAACCTTGGTTCCCTCGTCATAGAACGGGCCGCTAACATTCTTGTCTCACAGGTGAAGACCGATAGCTAGAGTGTTAGAACTTGTAGCCCAAGTTGTAGCACTGCTAAAATAACTGCTCTTTACTGTTGTTTGGAGATGGAACATTCCCAGAGGTCAGCTGTCTTCCTATAGACGCTGTCCAGCTTGTCAGTGTCTTGTTAGAGAAGGTGCTCCGTACTCCACAGGGGGTTAGTTCTGTGTATCATGAAGCAGGACCGTTCTCTCCCTTGATTTGAGCACCATGCACCATGCAACCCAAGGTCAGAGATCAAAGCATATACTCAATTCAGTGAGGGGTTTCCTAGTTAAAGGAGCCCTATGACAGAAACCATTTTCAAAGGAGTAACTTTTTTTTTTTTAAGATTTTATTTATTTATTCGAGAGAGAGAGATAGTGAGTGAGAGAGAGAGAGCACACATGAACAGGAGCAGAGGGAGAGGGAGAAGCAGACTCTCCTGCTGAGCAGGGAGCCCGACATCGGGCTCGAACCCAGGACCCTGGGATCATGACCTGAGCCGAAGGCAGACACCCAGGCACCCCTCAAATGAGTAACTTATTTTTATAAAATGAATAGTCACGTGAAATTTTCTGTTCTGTGATCCTGAGTTTTGTAAGTTAGATTTTTCAAAAGGAGGGTCTACCCACAGCCCCCACCCCTAGCCACGTCTGCCACCATGTATAATTGGTGCATTTGCAAGCTGTCTTCAGCTATAGTCTGGCATGGACTGAAGACTGGAGACCCTTGCCCAGGCCTTGGCTAGACTTCATCAAGTCCTGCCTATGGGTGGCTCACTCGCGCTCTCTCTCAGTCTCTCTCTCTCTCAGGAGGCAACAGTGATTGAATGTCTTATTAACTTCAAACTTTCAATTTAGAGCAAAGTTCGTGCTAAAATGCTCACAGCTTCTCATACGGATGACACACAGGACCCTTTTTTCTGAGTGGAGGTGACAGAGGCACCAAGCAGGGAGAAGTTGAGTGGGCTCCAGGAATGTGGTCACCAAGCTTCCGAAAGAGGCAGTGGGGCTGACAGGAATCTGAAAGGACAGGGGCAGAGTTGGGCCAGCCTGTGGACTGAGGTTAAGCTGACTAGAAGTTAACAGGGGGCACTGAGCGTTCTCAGGACTCCCTAAAGCAGCCCAGGAGTCAGAGGAGGTGAAAGTCACTGGGCGCCAAATATCTGCTCAAGCTGCCTACAGTGGTAGTAGGATCTAAAGTTTAATGAGGGCAGAAATCAGGCTTTTGTCAGAGGCCCAACGCTTCAAGGCAGGTCCCCAGCGAGGGCCAGGCGAGACGCCGGGAAGTGATGGGGCCGGGCAGAGCTGGAACCCCAGTCACATGCAAGGCACCAGCCACGGCCGCATGTAGGAACATGGGCCTCATGTTGACAAGGCTTGTCTTGCAAAGACGCCCAATTTTTATGTGAAATTTTCCATTTTTAAGACACTGGGTAGGTCAGACAAAACCCAACTGTGGGAATGCACTGAGGAGAGCATGTGGGGTAGACAAACCCTTGGATGGAAGAGAGAACCCAGGTGCAGGGAACCATGTGGGGCAAAATAGGGAGACTTCACCCCAGGTTAGGAAGCTGGAACTGCCCCCTCCCCCACCTTTGGGCCATGGGGGAACTCTACCTTCAGCTCCAGGTCGGTGTAAATCTGTGGCCTCAGCAGGCTGAGGAGGTAGGACGCTCGGGAGAACTTAAACCCTGAAACGGAATCTGGTGAAGAGGGTCACCAGCGGTCACCCACAGTCATGCCCCACCACCCCATCACCTCTCAGGGCTCACCTGGGATGATCTCCTCTGGGACAGCTGCACCTCCACCACAGGGCGTCTCTCGAAGACTGCTGTGTTCACCCCCAGTCTCTGCAGGCACGCTGCCTGGGGGGCACACAGGGCCCTCCTTTCATCCCGGGGGCCGACCTGCCAGCTCAGGGGCCTCGCTACAGGGCCGCCCCCTGGCTCATGCTGTTCCTGCCTCTGGAATGCCGTTCCCTTGCTTCCTCCGTGAATTCCCACTTGCCCAGATGTCTCGTAAGATGTAACATGACTGCTCCTGCCCCTCCACGTCTCAGGGGCGACCTTCCCTCCTGCATGGCCTGGTGGCTCTCTCAAGTCCTACTACACCGTGCCCAGCCCTGCCTGGGGTGCCCAGCTCCTCCGGAGGGGCGAGCCTCATGCCTCCCCACAAGCACCGAGAGGCAGGGGTGCCTGGGGTGCTCTGTCAGTGAAGCGGTTGCCTTCGGCTCAGGTCACGGTCCTGGGGTCCTGGGATCGAGTCCTGCGTCGGGCTCCCTGCTCAGCGGGAAGCCCACTTCTCCCTCTGTGGGCCGCTGCCCCTGCTTGTGCTCATTCTCTCTCTCTTTCTGTCAAATAAATAAAATCTCTGACAAGTAAATAAAGTTCACTTGCCAGACACTGTTTAATCCAGCCCACAACCCTAGAGGTGGCCACTATGACTCTCCCCATTTCACAGATGAGGAAACGGAGGCCCAAGGTTAATGGCTTGCCTCAGGCTCACGGAGCTCCTGAGTAGAGGTGTTGGGAATTGAACCTAGAGGGTCTGGACCGAGATCTATACTCCTGACCCATCCCAGCAAGGAAGAAAACAGCAGCCCTGGCACTGGGGCGCAGCCTGGCCCTCAGAGGTACGCTGTGCTGTTCTCGCATTAGGCACGAGCAGCCTCACAGAATGGTCTGAGACCACTGAAAATGGGATAGAGCAAGACCACTTCGCAGTTTTGCCTGAGTACAAACATGGGCTCTGAGTCACCCACAAAATACCCCCCACCTCCTCTCGCAGCCAAAATAAGTGGCCACTACTTCCTTACCAGTCACCCCCTCCTGTTCCTGGCCCCCCTCCCCAGTAGATAAGGTTTATCAAGATGCCCAGTCACAGGGGGTGTTCCTGCTTTCTGACGGTATCCAATCTAGAGCAAACCCTATTCCTTAGACTGTCCCCCCAGTCACCCAACCAGAGCTCAAATCCTAGAACAGGTTCTTCCAACCCCCTCCTTCCTGAGCCACCTCACATCCCCCTGCTCCCCGGTCCCCCACAGCCGGTCATCCCCTGACTCTGCAAACTGCAGGTCTGTGCCTGGGGGGGGGCTGGGTCTTGGGCCGAAGGGGCGGACACCAGCCTCCCCGGGGCTGAGTCCCCGTCTGCGAGGCTTTGTGTGGCAGGTCCTCGAAGCACATCATCTGTTCGCTCCACAGCAGCTCTGTGAGTGGGTGTTTTTATTCTCATCTTACCATGGCTCAAAGAGCCTCAATGACTTGCCTTGACCTTCACAGATAGAAAGTGGCAGAGCTGGAGGACAAACCCATATTTATAATTACATAAAATCAATGTTTTAAATTACTGATCAGTTGAGTTATATAATGCTCCCTGTAAAATGTTCAAGTAAAACTACTATGTCAGGGAAAGTGTTTAGATTTAACACTAGTCTCATAGCCCTCCCTCCCTGAAGTGCTGAGTCGTCCTGTATGGATATCCTAAAGCTGCCACTGCTTCAGGGAGATGTTCCAAGTTTGTCTTGTGAACACCCTCTAGCACACATGGTGGCCTCGGAGGGGTACCGGGACCAGAGTTGGAGAAGCACAGCCTCAGGGTACCCCTGGCCTGGCTCAACTTTGGACAGAGGAGCCAGTGGTGGTGGGGGCAGGGCCCTGCCTCCCCTGCTGGACTGGCTTCCTCCCTGTCGCCGGGGTACACTTGGGGCTGTGTAGCTGCTGGGTACTTCAGCCTAGACCCAGCTGGGGAGCACGGGGGCCACCCGTAATCTGTAGTCGGAGGGCCCCACCTGGCCCCAGCTTCCCAGGCTCTAACACGTTCCTCCGGCTATGCCACTTACGTATTTTCCCATCTTGTCACCATCTTGCCTCTGAATGTCCCCTGACTATCCCAAAGTTGTGGGGGAAATGCACGTTAGGGGAAGGAGAGGAAGGGGAGCTCCTGATAGCCTCCTTAACTACTGCGGACACCCATTTGACAGCCATGGGTCAGTGCCAGGGAGAGACCAGCCGGCCCCCCCTCTCTCCTGGCCAGCACCCTGCGGCTTCTCAAATTCCGGCTGACAGCCACGTGTGCAGGGGCTGGGGCAGCGGGGGAGGCACTCACAGCCACCAGCCCGTTGTGTCCTGCAATGAGACAAGGGGGAGGAGGAAAGCAGCAGTGGTCAGCGGGCAGACAGACACACTCCCTGGGGAATATGGTCACCCATCCCTGTCCCCATGCTCGTGAAGATCGCGGGGAGGTAGCCGAAAGTACCACCTGTACCTGGATGTTGTAATAGCGTCTAGCTTGATGCCATAAATCACCTGGTTTGTGGGGAGTCAGAAAACCCTGGTTCTTGCCCTAGCTTGAGAAAAGTCCTGTCACCCTGGCCTGGCCAGTGGCTCCAGGCTGGAGTGAGGGACGAGGAGAAACCCACAGTCATCAGACAAAAGCTATCTCATGAAGCCTTGCGTTGCTGGGCTTCTGTCCCTTGGGGAGGAGCAGGTGACTGGTGGAGAGCATGTCAGTTTCCTGGGCAGGAACAGAAGGGAAGCGTGGCTGCTCCGCTGGCGCTGGACCCCCTCGCTGGCTTGGAATCACCATCCAGGTGCATGCTGGGCATGCGGACGGCTGCCGCCACACGCGGCTTCTGCTCAAGTGTGGTCCACTCTAGTGCCCCAGAGGCTTTAGTCCCATGGCTTTGTCAATCACCAATATTCCCCAAACCAGAACAGTTCAAAATGAATTAAACACATACAGCTTCAACATGTGCTAAAGGAGTGCCGGCTGGTTGGGTGAATTTATCTATCACATATATATATGTGTGTGTGTGTGTGTGTGTATGTATAATGTGCATATATATATATATATATATATATATATATATATATATATATATATATATATATTTCTTTTCAAAAATCTTAAGAGGGCTGCCCCTGGGTTGGGAGCCCTAAACCTGACTTGGGATTCCAGGTTCCCCACCAGGCCCACTGCTGGCAAGTGTGTCTCCTGCTCTGAGAAGCTTTAGGATCATCTAAGAACCTGTATGAACGATGATTCACAACCCCTCCCCAGAGTCGGCTCGGCAGGGTGGAGGCAGGGACTTGGGATGGATTTCTCACAAGGCCCCGGGGTGGTTCTGATGCAGGTGGTCAAGCACGGCCAGGGGCCGGGAGTGTCTCCTCTTGCCTCACTCTCAGGATAGTGTAGCTGCTTATGGAGAAGCCCTTGTTGGGCGGAGAGCAGGCCTGGGTTGTTTTCAGGTAGTGGGGACAGGTCTTGTCTGGAACACTTGGCACGCGTTTCTCCTTGGTGACAGAAGGTCACTCTGAGTCTTCAAAGATGTCAACCTGAACCCAGTGTTCGTGCAAATAAAATGTTCAGCCATTAATTTGACAAACATCCATAAATAGGAGGCAGTGATGACCCACATGACGGATTTCTTCATGGCTGAGCTGACTTTGTTTTACATTTTCCATACAGAGACACCCAGAATTTTAGAGGTCACTGAGCCAACTTCTCTTCCATTAAAGGAATCTCTGAAATAGTTTTTCAACCTTCTTTGACCACGAGCCACATGAAGAAGTGCGTCTTACCCTGTGACCTGGCCTGCACCCCACATACAAATGTATCCACAGAAACAAAAGTTTCATGAACTCATATTAACTCACCATGTGATAAGCATGTGATGATCTATTTGATTATATTTCATTTAAAAAGACGGGTTAATATACTATTTTTATGTACTTTTGAAAAGTTTCTTAAGGTTTAAAAGCTTTGCTGGATGGGATTCATGAGCGAGTTGCAGCCCACAGTTTGGAAAGGCCTGCTCTCAAATATATACATCAAATTAAAGGCCGACTGTCCTGGGCTCAACCTGGCTCCTGCTATTTACAGGACGTGGCCCTCAGAGAGTCATTCTGACCGGCCATGAGCTTCAGGCTTCTTGCAGTGTTGGAGCAAGAATAACCAATAATATATGTAAAGCACCTGACCCTCAGCAGACTCAACGATAAATGGTAGCTATTTGTCTCTTAGATAGTGCTGATCATAAATCTTGGAAAACTAATAAAGGCTTCCATGCAACTGGGTCCAGTTCAATCATCACATGAGCCCACAAATGCACAAACAGCCCTCAAATGACAAAGGTCAAGATTCCAACAGCCCCGGACCCTCGGCCCTCCACCACTCCATCCCTAGTCCTGCCTGAGCCCTCCTGGGGCTGCTGGTGACCTCTCCTTTCCCCCTGAGGGGGTCTGAAGCTGCAGACTCTGATCATCTCCAGCCTGACTCCAGGGATCCTCAGCTAGCCAGGCATGTGGGGCTCTCGAGAGAAGCCGCGCTCTGAACACGGGTTCTCAAGTGTGGCTTACAGCTGCCTGCACTGGACCCGCTCCAAATTCTGGTTGGATGCGCTGACTTCCTCTCAATCCTAATCACCAGGGATAGGGCCCAGGAACTGCCTTTTAACAAGCTCCTTGGGTCATTCTTAGGCATATTTAGCCAAGGCACTAATTAGGGTTTGTCTTCAAAGTGGCCCCCAGATACTCGTGTGACCTCAGGGAGCAGAGCTAACCCTTCTCTCAGAAGATGCCACTCTGTCCCTCACTTGATTCCCAAATGCCCTTAATTAAACCGGGCTGCCCTGAATGCTCAGCAAATGAAGAAACAACATCAAGGAAAAACTCACACCTGAGACTCATACACGTATGGGCAAGTCACCTACGCCTCTGGTGACCTGGAGTCAACCCTCTGTGCCAGGAGACAGCAGGGATGTGCTGTCACCAAGGCCAGAAAAGCGGGGGTGGGGGTGGGGCATGACACCTTCCCAATCAGTGAAGCCTGGAGCTGGCTTCCCCCGGCCAGGATGTTTGTGATGCTCGTCAAACACCGCCATTATTGAAATTTAGATTATTATAAACTTACAGTGAAATAAATTATATTAAAAACACAGGCAATAAATACTCAAAACTTGTCACTTCCTCATCGTTTTTCCAGTTTACCATGACCTATGCTCCTGCAGTTCTTCACCTCTGAGCAGCCGTCAGCGGCCGTGCCTCTCTCCCAAGTGCACGCACAGGCCCCTCACGGTGGCAACTTGAAAAAGGCCGTGGTGGGAGCACTTGAACCACGGAAGCCAGCCGACAGCACCCCTCAGGGCTTGGCCGTATTACTCTGTTGACGGTTCCGTGTGAGAAAGTGATGGAGAAAACACGAACGATGCAGATGAAACCCGGCCGTGCGCTGTGTCTGCAGCTCTTCCGCGGCAAATGGCACAAAACCTCGAGAGAATCTTCTCCCAGTGCGGGAGAAATGTCATCTGACGGAGCAAAGTCTCTCCCATCACCGGAGGAGTGAAGTTCAGGTGTGACTGTTGCTTCCCGTCGGTTCTACTCTTTAAAGGCAGGGCAAACGGAAAACCACGTTCCCTTCCGAGCCGGCCTGATCGGTTGGGAGTAAGCACAGGTTTGCTGCTAAGTTTAGCAAAAATCACAGAAATTTGGTGAGAGCCAACTGGCTACCTGGAATTTAGAGGATCGTGTATCTTCCTTGTAAACGCGTGTGCTATACTTCCTCTATTTCAGCATTTATCATAAGCTTCCGTATATATGCCCACACACATTTTCCCTGGAGGGGCGACTACAACATTTCCTGGCCACGACTGCTCTCAGAGCATACGAGAATGAAGAGCTGGCAGGACAGGATGCACTTTAAAACGGTGATGAGCATCTTCTTTCGATCCTGCCATTGTCTGTCTGTCTAAACCCAGTGGGAGAGAATACCAGAAGTTGAAATTTGGGGCCCCCTGGGAGTGTGAATGGAAGGCTCTGAGCAAAGACAACCTGGTCCGGACCCTGTGGCCTCCCACAGTTACGCGGCGGAATCGGACACCCTGCAGCCTGGGCGTCAGCAAAGTGCAGTAGGACCGACCCTATGTGCCCCAGACAGGCAAGACAATGGGGGCTGTCACCCTCTGCAGACATGCACTAGGATCTCTGTGACTCATTTCTATTTTTTCCTAACTCCCAGTTTCCTTGGGGGAATGGGTAGTCCTAGTGGTGAGGTGGTGGTGACCAGAACTCAGGGCACTCGGGGTGGCTGGATTTCATGGGTCTTTTATGGCAAGCTCTTTCTTTCCAACCCTTGCGTACCATCTGCTTTCCAAGAGTGGTGGCAACTAGCTAATTTTGCAGGAGATACATGGATACTCCTGAGCTCACCTATTCCTCCCTGGTCATTCTAGAAGGGCAGACCTGAGCCTAGAGAGGTCAAGAATCTGCCCCAGACCACGAGCAAGTTGATGGCAGCCCCACAACCTCGGTGTCTGCTCACAGACCAAGCGGACTTTCCACCACCGCCCCTGCTCTGGCCCAAACCCCGGCCAGCCTGTGCCCAGAGCAGAGGGAGGTGGGGGGCTTGGGGATGCCCCCCCTCAGCCCCAGGGGCTCTGAGCAGGGCTGCCCTCCCTGGCCCTCAGCTCTGGCACAGCCCGTTTACCTGCTCCTATCACCATGGCATCGTACTCAGGCTATAGGCATCCCCTGGCTTCCCAGTGAGCTCGTCTCCAAGCCGGGCAGGGAGAGGCACCCAAGGCCCTGCCGAAACCTGGGCCACTTGCAGCCATTTCAGCCCAGCAGTAGGCCAGGAATTTGCTTACAATCAGCTTTTGTGCAGCCCAGGTGGGGGGAGGGTCAGGGAGCAAACAGGAAGAGAGGAGAAGCTGCAGTCCAGCTGCCGTACTTGGCTTTGGGCCATGAGGACATGCAGCTCACGAGTCCACACAGGGCAGAGTCTCAGGAGGCCGCCCGTTCACCGTGCTGAAGTTGGGTCCCCTCCAGGCCGCAGAGGAGAGCCACTGTGCTGGTCACTCTAGGGCTCCCACGTGTGAGGTGCTGTGCTCACGGAGGCCCCAGAACTCCCGTTTCATGGACGAGGGGCACTGAGGCTTGGAGAAGGGGGGGCGGAGGTCATGCAGCCAGTGAGCAGGTTGGTGGGGCCCCCTCCCCAGCACTGTCCTGCTCCTCATTAAGGAGTTTACTGTCCAGGGTGTGCTGGGGAGCGAATCCTGAGGAGATACTGGTCAGACTCTGCCCTAGCTCCCCATCTTTCCGCCTGCAGGATGGTGAGCGGCTCTACACCCCACAGGGTCGCCTTGACCAGGGCCTCAGCAAAACTACGGGGGGGGGGGGGGACATCTGTCGCTGCAGTCCCTGGAGAGCTGCGTGCTCCCTCCCAGACCCTGAAACACCTTGCACTCAGAATAGGCTGCCGCGGGAGCCAGCAAGGGCTGGGAAGTTTGGGGTTCGCCCCCTTCTTTTGACAGCCTGGACATCCCTCTCGTCTTTGGCACCTTTCCAATATCCCCAGAACCCTCAAGGATTAAAGATCACATCCACAAATACCTTCAGCTAACACACTTTCTTGCTATGCTTTGGACTGCCTGGAATTAGGAGCTCCTTTGTTCTCTGCCCATTAGCTAGCAGGCCATTCCTCTTGTTAGAGGAAAAAAGCACCCAAGAGTTGAGTTTCTGTACTGCCATGACATCTGTCCATATTCTAGAAACCCGCTATTAGAAATGCACCTTAAAATTGGGAGAGTATGCAGGGAAGGTGCGTCTGAGCAGGAGAGCCTTCCGCGATCCCTCTACTCATGAAAGAGACACCCGTCCGCACGTCAGGTTTACACTGTGTGTGGAACTATGCTGGAGTCTGAAGCAGGATGCTCGCCCCAGTGTTACAATATTGAAAAATTCGGGGGACTGGTTCAACTAGACATGTCGACATCATGCAGCTACTAAAAATTAAGGGACAACAGTAGGTGACAGAAGCAGGTACCCTAAGCAGCAGTGGGCATCTAGACTTACTTTCCCCCGCTTTGTGCTCTCCTGTGTTTTCCACAACTGATGTTAAATTTCCATTCGTAAAGTCAAGATATTAAGGAGGCATGTGGTCCCAGGCACCTCAGGTTACTGTCCCTCACTGCCACGTCTGAGGACATTAGTGTGAGGTGGGGTTCTGTCCCCCCTTCACCCCCACCAGCTGTTTCCTTAACAGAAAAGAGTCTTTGCGTGAATTTTGGCTCAAGACTGAAGACATGGAAGGGCCGGCTGCTGTCAGCCGGTGAGAAGCGCTGCCTGGGTGCCTTCTCCTGCACGGTGCTTCTCTCCTCCCCGCGGCAGATGCTCCCCAGTCCCAGGGCTTGGGTGCCCTGACCTGCGGTGGGAGCTTCTAGGTGACAGGAGAGGGACCGTCCCCCTGAGGCAGGGGTTCTCAACCCAGGGCACACAGGGATCGGCTGGGGAGTTTTTATAAACCTCTGCCTGGGATCCAGAGGACCGAGGGACACGGATCTCTGAGGTGGGGCTGAGGCAGGAGTCGGGACGGAGCAGGGTGCGGATGGACCAGGACTTCTATGCACCAGGAAGAGCCCAGGAGCCCAGGTACGTTTGGCTTGAACAACAGTGACCACAACCAACATTTATTGAGCACCTGCCGCGTGCCGGGCAGCCCTCACAACCACCCTGAGAGGTAGGTGCTATCCCTCCGAACGCGGGGTAAACGGGTGTAGAGTGTCGGAAACCCACCCAGAGCTGCAGAGAGGAAGTGGCCCACCCAGCCAAGGCAGCACCTTGCATTTGGGGAGGGAAACGGCTTCCCGAGGAAGCTCTTTCTCCACTCCAAGGAAAGCATAAAGGAGGTATCTTCAGACACCTGCAGACCCCGGGGACGTCCTGTCTCCTGGGGATCAAGGCAGAGGCAGCTCTGAAAGCAGGTGCCCCAGTTCTAACCTCACAGCCACTGTTCTTTTAAGGAGACCAAGGGACCCCCTGGCCTCCCTCCTCCCCCAAAGAGAAGGATTTGGGGGTTTGGAACCTGGAGGGGAGCCTAGTCTAGGTGGTTTCTTTAAGAGAGCCGGGGGGCTGTCCTACCCTTAGCGGCTGCTCTGCAGGGGGCCGGGCTGCACAGCCAGACTGCAGCGCCCTGGCCTAGAGCAAGGGGAGGTGGGAGGTCTCCCAAGAGCGCCGGGCCAGCTCGCCGGCCTGCTGCACCAGCACGTCTGTGGGGATGACCGACAGGTGGAGGGCCAGCAGCTCGTGGCACTTGACGGCCTCGGCCGGGTGGCCCTTGCTGTAGTAGCGCAGGAGCTTCCTGGAGGAAGGGGGGTGGGATTCAGGAGCGGGGCCCCAGCGGCCCTCCCAGACACGGGCGCCCCTCCTGCCACAGCACGAACACTGTCACCTCGTGAGGCCCCAGCACCTGGCCAACCGCACGAGGCTCGGCCCTGGGCCGTGCGGTCCACCCCTTTGGGTTCCCAGCCCTGCGCAGGGCCTGCCGACGGCCATGTCCGGGCCGCGGGAAGCCACAGAGCCGGCAGGGAAGCCCGAGGGCCCGGCACGGATGCTGGCAGGTGCTGCCAACGGTGTGGCCGCCAGAGACGGGCAGAAAGCTGGGCATGCTCCCACCCACCCCCCTCACTGAACACGGGGCTGGGCAGCAAAGAGCTTCCACCGAGGGCTTCTTGGGGGGCGTTCCTGGAGCAGGAGCTGCTCCCCATGGGGAAGTGGCACTTGCTGGGCACCCACTGTTCCCAGCAGCCTTGTGAATCGGGGTCACCTGTAGTAGTCTCCTCCCAGCACGCCGACGGAGGCCGAGTCATCCGAGAGGACGGGCACCTCTATTATCTGGAGTTTGTACCCCTGCAGAAGAGGAAGAAGGTCTTACAGGGGGAGGTGGTGGCGTGGTGGAGAGAACACGAGCCTGAGTCAGACACCATGTTCAAGGCCTGGCTCAGCCCCGCGCGCGCTGGGTGCTTGCTGCTTGGACCTCTTTTTACCTCGTTTTCTCAACTGTGAAGTGGGACTAACAGTAACCTCCCAGTGAACACTGGAGGTGATGTATAAAAAGCTCTGAGTGTCCTGCCCGGTACACATGTGGTAGTTCTCACTCCCATCAGGGCGTGGACCTGGCTCAGGGACCCGCACGAGCTCAGGAGGGCTGCCAGGAGGGCGACCCTGGGAGGTGGCATGCAGGGTCTTGAAGGGCTAGGCATTATCAAAAGGCCCAAGTCTCTGCTGTGAAAGCGACCACAATCTCCAGGGCAGGGTGAGGAGGAGAAGGGAGACGTCCAGGTGGCTTAGTTGGTTAAGCGTCTGCCTTCGGCTCAGGTCATGATCCCGGGGTCCTGGGATCGAGTCCCGCATCGGGCTCCCTGCTCAGCGGGGAGTCTGCTTCTCCCTCTGCCCCCCCCCCCCATTCATGCTCTCTCTCTCTCGATTGCTCTACTCTCTCTCAAACAAATAAAATCTTAAAAAAAAAAAAAAGGAAAAGGAGGAGAGGGAATTAAGATGCTCTGGGCAGCCACTGTGCGTCGGGCACGGTCATGGGGCTCGTCTCCATGCTCATGTGGGCACCGTGGGCCCGTCCTGCGGGCGAGGAGGTACACTCAGCGTGCTAGGCAGCTGCCCAAGACGGCACAGGGCAGGCAGCCTCCACAGCTGGCTCTGCCCCCCACAGCCCTACTGCAGTCTGTCACTCCGTCGGGACAGCCACACACACAAAGCCCTGCCTCTCCCTAGAAGCTAAGGTAAAGGTCATACACACATCCTGGGCTCAGAGCGCCGACGGGAGCCTGTTTGAGCTGAGCCTGGGTTCTGGCTTCTTCATTTATGACCTTGGTGGCCCTGGGCACGGAGTTTGATCTCCAGGCATCAGTGTCTCTATCTGTAAAATGGGGCCAATTATCCCTGCCCCAACCATGGCACAGGCTGGGAGGACGGGAGGTTGAGACCCAGGAAGCAGCCTGTACTCTGGAAGGTGCTGGCCATCACTCTCGGGGCAGAGCGAAGGAGGGCTGCTGCCAGGGAGAGGGCAGGGCCTGGTGGGGGTGGAGGGGGCATGAGGGGCAGAAGAATGGACAGAGAGCTGGAACACAGACTCAAAGTGACAAGTGAGGAGAAAACAAAGAGAAACAGGAAAGAAAGAAGAGAGAGAGAGAAACAGGCAGTGAGCTCCCATGACCTGTGCTTACACTGGAGTAACAGTGAGGTCTAGAGCGAGAAGTACCGGGCCAGGAGGCCATACTGTCCTCTTCACCTTGCGCAGGTTGCTACACGGCTCTGAACCTCGGTTTATCGGCCTCTACAATGGGAACGACAGCGTGCCGTGCTCTGTAAGCGCAGCTGGCGACGCGGAAGCAAGTGCGAGCAGCCGTTCTCGAGGGGCATGCGGCCATGTGTTCGCGTGCGACCTGGACACCGCCTTGAGTGACAGCACGAGTCGTTCAGACAGCTGCTGGAGGGGTCACAGAGCGCCCCTGAACACGGGACCCCCGAGGTCTGGGTGCCCACAGCTGTGCCTCCCTGTCAGCTCCACTAGGGACGAGAAGAGATGAGAGACAGACAGACTGAACGCAGTGCAGAAGAAAGGGGTCCCGGAGTGAGCAGAGAGGAAAGCATTTCGGGACGGTCCTGCCCCGGGACCCGGCCGCACCCACCATCTCGTTCTCGAACCACAGGAAGTAGGAGAAGCAGAAGTCGCCCTCCCGGAAGAGCAGCGTGCTGTAGCCCTTCTGCAAGTATCTGCGCGCCAGCCGGATCAGACACCAGACCTGGGGACAGGCGGAGAGCGTGCTCGT